TGTTCAATGAGTTGAAACCAGATTTGTTCTTGTGTGATTTGATACACAATGAAGTGTGTTTAGATGTGGCTTGGAAATTGAAGAAACCCGCAGTTAATTTGGGAAGTTCGTTATCAAGTTAGTAAAAAAAATAATTAAATAATTATTAATATTAATAACATTGTTAAAATTGTTTTTATTATTATAGGAGTTCATGGAATCCCGTATAAATCTGATCCAATGTATGGTTGTAAAGTAAATCTGGAAAATGAATCATTTTTAGAAAGACTTAGATGTTTTGTAATTCCACAGTTCAAGGTAACTTGGACAACTCGCTCTGCTATTTTACATTTAAATGAATTAAGAGCCAAACTAGGTATCTCCCCTACAAGTCATCCATATGCAAGAATTAAAAACAAATTATTTTTGGCTGATACATTTTTTGGATTTGATCTTCCAACACCATTATCACCAATTTATACGGTAAACTCATTATTTTCTTTTGATTTTGTTTTCAAAAAAAAAAATTAAGTTAAATTATTTGTACTAGGAAATTGGACCTATATTGTCAGATAATTATCCACCATTAACACCAGAAGTAAAAACATTTCTAGATAACCATCCACGTACAATGTTTATATCACTTGGCACATCTGTATATACTACAAAAAAAAATATTGGAATATTATTACAATCATTTATTGAAGCAACAGAGAATGGTGTGATTGATGGTGTGATCTGGGGATTATCAACTGTAGGAGTTGAAGACATACCTGAAACCATAACTTTATCAAACGGCAAAGAACTCAATACAATGTATATAATCAACAACCAACATCCAAATATTCAAATATTATCATTTGCACCACAATTCTCAATTTTGGCACATGAAAATTGTAAACTGTTTTTAAGTCATGCTGGAGCAGGCAGTAGCCATGAAGCGATGTATAATGGTAAACCTATGTTGGTGATGCCAATTGCTCTTGATCAACATGGAAATGCTGAAAGACTGGAAAATATGGCTGGTGTTTCTTTGACTTTAAGCAAGACAAAGTTAAATGTTAAAGAAATTTTAATAAAAATCCGACAATTATTATCTGAAGAAAAATTTAAGATAAATAGTGAAAGAATGAAATCCTTGGCTAGAATTAATAGTAAGAGAAAATATAGAGCTGCTGATTTGATTGAACATGTGATTAAATCAAATGAATTAAAGGAAAAATTAATCAGTAACATCAGCAATAATAATTCTAGTTATAATAATAATGGTGAGATTGATAGCACATATTTAAATGAATGGATCTCACCTAGCACAAGAATGGGATTTATCAAAGGAAATTATTTAGACATTTATCTTGCTTTATTTGCAATAGCATTAGTTATTCTTGTAATTAGTATCTTCACAATTTATAAATTAATTCATTTGATTTTTGTTAAATTTTTATTCAATCTAGTGAAAAATAAATTGAAAAAAGAATAATTGACTTTTATAATAATAATTTTTTATTGATTCTTCTTTTTATAATAAACATGTAAAATTTTTAGCAAAAAAAATAAAAATATAAATACATAAAATTGATGGAAAGAAAATAAGTCCCATCTTTTGATTTTGCAACTTTTTTATACTATTTATGACAGGGTTGTGCAATTTCGCTGTACGAGAAGAATCTTCGTACGTACCATTGAGTTCGTACAGTTTCGTTGTGGTCGTACACCTGTACGAGGAATTTTTACATATGTACGTACGTACGATGTATCAGGAACGATGATTTTCTGCTGTGACAAAATATTACTTTGTAAAATCCTATAATAATATTATTATTAAACCGATAATCCTATTACTATAATTAATGGATTATCAGATGTTGTAACTGGGGCCGTAATACTACTTCATTATCAGAAAAAACTGATTATCATGTTATATATGCTTATTTAAATCCCTTGTTA